CCGAGGGATCGTCTTCAAAATTAAATGTTAATCGATTAAATTCATTGATCTATTCTTTACTTGCCGGTGAAATTGTATCTTGTAGACGTTGATCGGCCCGATCCCAATCCTTAATGCAAACCAAGGCTTCAACAATATCCCTTTGCAATGCATTCAGGCGTTCCTCAAGTATTCTTCATGTCGTACTGAAAGCTTGTTCGGATGAAACAGTGGAGATTGGGATCGAAAATATATCCATTGCCAATCGAGTTAGGATTGGCCAAGTTAATGCCCGTGCCCTCCACCATTGAACTAAGTCAAACGATTCTGCTGCATTGCCGACTACTAAGCCTTCACTGAGGTACGCCATAAGCTCGTTGAAGTTGCTGCCACCACTGCCACTTGTTGATGAAGATCCACTTCCACTCACAGCTTCCGTTTGAGTTGTCTTCTTCTTATTCTTTAACCCGAAAACATTCAAGAATGAATGCGGGTTTTCATCTTGTTGTTGCGGTTCATGTACTCTAGAATTTGTGCTTCTAAACCTAATCTCATATTTACTATTGATCTCATATATTTTCGCCTTTATTATTGAAAATTGGTCTATACAAGTGATGCCTAAAAATTCACCTAAGTTTTCTAAACCACTTTCTAATCCGTCTAATTTTAATCTAGGATAAAAAATTGTACCTAAACCATATAACAAAGGCAACTTAGACCAATATTTTTTAAATTTATTTTCCATAGAATAAACATGAACTCCTAAGATTGGGTCCTCCCTATATTTGTGGAATAAAATACTAATTCTTAAAAGTTCTCCTAAAGCTAAAGGTGATGTTGGGTAGTATGTTCCACTAAGTTTTAGAGTAACTTCATGAAACCTACCTAAAAATTGATACAAAACTTCGGCAATTTGCCAATCAAATTCATCTATATGTCCTACTCCTAATTTTGCACACATATAGTTTGTTATAGCATCCTTATAAGGGATGCATTGTTGAAGCATAATATAAGTTGAGTTCCATCTTA